ACTATTATTTTTTTTTATGAGACTAATGACAAAACACGTTTCATTTTTAGTCGATTACTAAACTACTTCTTAAACCAAATCAACTCAATTATAATATTATTAATATATATATATATATAACTAATAATGAAAACTAAAAAAAAAAACAATTGATTCATCTGATAACTAGTTTAATACTACTAGTTTTTTATTATATTATGTTAGATATTTTTCTTTAAGTGACCCATGTTTTTTTATAATCTAAATTAAGTGCTAAGATCATATTAAACACACAAGGAGATATAAATGAAAAGTCATATTGATGGAGCATTTAAAAATCTTTTTTAATTATAAAACATTAAATATGACTTTCGAACAAAGTCTTCTTTTTACCCGATGAATAGACAATATATTTTTATCAATAATAATGCATATATGTTAAAAAAATTTAAAAGGCCAACGAGACATAAATATAGTTTTCTAAAGCTTTTCTTGTAATTAATAGTTCTCTATAAAGCTCTTTTTTTTTGTTTTTTTTTTTGTGATTAATAGTTTCCTATAAAGCTTTTGTTGTGATCAAGTTTACTAGAAGAATCACTCATGATTGGTCAATCTCTTCTTTCAAGCTTTATCATAGATCAATGTATGTTCTCTCTTAAATTTTATTTCGTATGTGAAATATTATAAAGTTCTATGATCTTGGATAATAAAATTTAAGCATGATTATAGATGATTTTATTTCCATAATTATAGAATATAATCTAACATGTGGTATTATAGCCTAAGACTTTGAACTTATAATTTCTTCATTTATGTTTTTTTATTGTAATTTTTTTTGTATCTCTAGTAAATCATTAATATATGCTAATTGCAATTTATGTGATGAAAGAAACATTGTTTAATATGATGTTTATATTATGAATAATTTGTTAGTCTCCAAAGTGGCCAAATTAGAATATATTTTTTTTATATACATTAGTTGCGTATGATTATGTGATGTTTATGAGTCGAGATGATATGATGGTGTATGTGATGAGTATATTGAAGTTCATTGCTTATAAAATATTTAAAAAACACCCGAGAGGTTGATTAACTAAATTTATATCGATGAACATGATTGTAGTTAATTAATACACTTAATTAGATATGTTTAGTATATCTAATGATAACAAACATGTCTAATTAAAGTATATATGTAACTATCAATTATGTGAAAAATAAAGTTAAGCATGAATTATTTATTTGTTGTTGTTGTTGTTGTATATTATTTGTCTCACCAAAAGAAGAACTTCAACATGCACGAATTATTCATATGAATGTTATTTGAATTTATATTTTTGTTTAAATTATAACTGAAAGCATTAATGTGTGAACATTTAATGTATTTTGCAGAATCTATTTTGTTGCTCTTCATTCATAAACTGTGTCTAAAACGAAGTTCAATAGGCTTAATTCTTCGATTGGTGTGAACAAATTATGTTTCACCTAGGAGTTCTAAGTCTTTATTTGAGACTCCTTACCGATAAGCCCGATACTCTTACCGACTCTAGCAGTCTTTGGAGAAAGGTCTTTTAGATGATACTCTAGTTTCATTTTCACAAGCCATTGAAAGTGAAAATTCTATTAGATAGTTAGACGTCATGAAAGAAGGGTTGAAATCCATGAATTATAATAGAGTCCGAAATTTCGTTGAATTTCCCGAAGGTTGTAAGAGTATTGGTTGTAAATGTGTCTTTAAGATTAAACGTAACTCAAATGGCAATATTGAATGATATAAGACTAGACTCGTTGTCAAGGGTTATACACAAAAGGATGGCATTGATTGTAATGAAATTTTTTTTATTGTTTTGAAAAAAAGAGTCATTTAGAATTATTATGGTAACCATTATGATTTAGAGCTATATCAAATGGATATGAAAATCGATTTTCCGAATGGAAGTTTAGAGAAAGATAACTACATGGATTAACTCTGAGGGGTTTATAGTTGAAGAAAATGAACACATGGTGTGTAAACTTAAAAAGTCAATATATGGACTTAAACAAGCTTTCAAGCAATGGTATCTTAAATTTAATTATACTATTACTTCATTTATATTGAAGAAAAACACCGTTGATCGGTGTATATATCTAAAGATCGGTAAGAGTAAGTTTATAATTCTCATTTTGTATGTTGATGATATCTTGCTTGTTACTAGTGATCTTGACTTATTACATGAGACCAAAAAATTTCTCCATGAAAACTTTGAAATGAAAAATATAGGTGAAGCATCCTATGTGAAAGAAATTGAAATATTCCGTAACGGATCGTAAGGATTGCTAGGGGTGTCTCATTAAGCATACATCAATAAAGTTTTAGAGAGATTTAAGATGGAAAAATGTCTTATATATGTTGTTCCAATTCGGAAAGGCGATAAATTCAACCTTATATAATGCCTAAATAATGAATTAAAACACACACAAAAAATAAAAATAATTCCTTATGCATCCATTATTTGGAATTTGATGTATGCTCAAACTCGTATTAGATTAGACATTAGCTTTGGTGTTGTAATGTCTGGGCAAATATCAAAGTGGTCCGAGATTAGACCATTAGAAGGCTGCAAAGAAAATATTAAGATATTTGCTACGATAAAAAAATCACATGCTCAATTAGAGGAGATCCGATCTTCTGAGATGATTGGATATTCAATTCGGATTATGCTTGGATGTGTTGATACAAAGAAATCTAAATCTAGATATTTGTTTCTTTTAGTTAGAGGCGCAATCTCATGGAATAGTAGAAAGCAATCTATCATTGCTATATCTACCATAAAAGTTAAGTTTGCGACATGTTTTGAGGTCATTGTTCAAGGTTCGTGGTCGCGAAACTTTATTTCGAGACTTGGAATTCCCGATAGTATTGCCAAGTTGTTGAAAATTTATTATGATAATGCTTTGCAATAGTCTTTTTTTCAAGAAACAACAAGTATTCAAAGGGTGTCAAGCTCATAGAAATAAAATACTTTACTTGTTAAATAAAAAGTTCATAAACAAAGAGTATCAATCGAACACGTTAGCACCAATTTTACAATTACGGATCCTTTAACAAAAGGATGGCTACCAAAGACATTTAACGAACATGTCAAAAGAATGGGCATTACTTGGATATTGTTAATGATGTAATGTTATTATTTTGTATATTTTATGTATTTGACACTGCGAGCTCATTTAAGTATTATTTTTTATATTTAAATATCCTATTATTTATTGTTGGTATATATACATAAATGAATTATGTGAATATTAACAAAATGTCTTTGACAAAGACATTAAATTATGGTATATCTCATTACTAAACATATTAAGTTTTGAACTAATATCATGATATATAGAAGAAAATGTGTTGAACTAAAGACATACAATCGTTGTGATCCTTATTAATTTTTACTTAATTATGATTAATGCTATGACCAATGTAGAAAAGAGTTTAGCCTATGACTATGCATATTATGTTTTGTTGAATCATGATAATATCACATGAATGTTAGATATTTTTCTTTAAGTCGCCCATGTTTTTAATTGTTTAAATTAAATGCCAAAATCCTATTGGTCACTTGATGAGATATAAATAAAAAGTCATGTTGATCGAGCATTTAAAAATCTTTTTAACTATGGAGCATCTTTTGAATTATAGAACATTAAATTACAAAGACTCTTAAATTATAAAACATTAAATATGACTTTTGAACCGAGCCATCTTCTTACCTTATATATAGGCATTTTATTTCCATCAACAATATTGTATGCATGTTAAAAAATTTAAGAAGGCGAAGAGAGAGAATTATAGTTCCTAAATATTTTCTAAATCTTTTCTTATGACTAATAGTTTTCTATAAAGTCTTTTTTGTGATCAAATTTCCTAAAAATTTCAGTTTCTTCTAGTTTTATTATGTATCAAGGTATATTATCTCTGAAATTTTATTTGCTATGTAAAATATTATAAAGTTTTATGATATAGGGCAATAGAGTTTATACATAATTATATAAGATTTCATTTGCATAATTATAGAATTATTACAAAGAAACTAAAACAAAATGCTTAATCCCTGTAGCATTCACGGTTCACGAAGACACAAATTTTCGTGCGTTCTAATATTCAAAGGAGCAATGTTTTTTTTTTTTTCTCCTCCCCCATCCATATCATTTTTCTTGCCCTCCTTTATTTTTAAATTTTGTTTTTGTCATTCTTCCATTTACCTTCATGCCCCCACCCCCCAAAATAATTTGTTTGGTTTGTTGTTGCCCTTAACCCTTTTTCGTCTTTGTACCTTTTTTCCCATCCCTACATTAAATGCTCTGGTCTACCCTGATAAAGAAACAGGAAAAAAAAAAAAAAACTTTCCACGTCGACGAGAAAATCAAGAAGCAGAGTTTCGAAGTCTTCTGACTGTGTAAAGCTCATACTATCTGCATCTTTATTTAGTTCCTAGATTTGGGTTTCTCTTTTTCTCATCATTGCAACGCTCGTTTTGCTTGAATTTTGTTTAGCTTTCTTTATTTGAAGGTTTATTCAAAAGAAGAACCCTGATCTTTTGCTTCTGATTCGGGTTTTGAAGTACATAATTTGACGAGGCAGTGTGTTGAATATGTTGTGTAGCCTTCTCTTAGTTCAGTTGAGCAATTCTTCCAAACATCCGCAGGATGAATAACCAAAAGAAATAGTGCTCATCCATAGCATTTTAAACAATTGATCTTCTTCCCCATAAAAATTCATTTTCTAACAAAATGACAGAGAAGCTTAATTAGTTATGCTAACATCAACTACCAATAAAGCTAAAGAAGACATCTTCTACAATTTAGTTACCAAATTCTTTTGAAATAGCTAACTTAAAGTTTCTGATAACATCACAAGTCGCGTTATGGCCTTTTTGGTAGAAGCGTGAAGGCACTCTTCCAACGGTATGGACCAAGTTATGCTCCTCCAGAGATTTTTTACCGAGATTACAGCCAGAAACTGCTAGTGATTAAAGAAGACCCTTTGCTTATAATCCAGCCGAGCGGTTGGCATACTCCTGAACCAATGCCCCAAACAGTGTTGGCCTCTCCAGTAACCGAGAGGGTTTATCAAATTCTTTTGCCCACCCTGTTTTAAACAACAACCAAAGCGAATCAGAATAGCCGTCCTAGTGTCTTGAATGCAGCAAGTATTCTGATAACCAGAAATCTCAGTTTGCAAGTCGAAGAATTGTTATTATACATGAATTATGCCTTCTTGTGTAATAGAAACAGACAATAGTAGAAGGAGAGTATACCTGCATCGATAACTAAAACCCTGTCACAGTCCATGACTGTGGGTATTCTGTGAGCAATGCTGATAATCGTACAATCGGCAAATTCCTCTCTAATAATCTTCTGAATCACAGCATCAGTTTGAGAATCAACTGAAGCAGTTGCTTCATCCATAAACAGCAGGTGACTATGCTTTAGCATAACCCTTGCCAAACAAAGAAGCTGCCTTTGCCCCACGCTCCAGTTGTCTCCGTTGTCAATCACTATGAAGTTAAAAGTTTCCGTAATTTTTTGTTCCAATAGTACGTTGAACTTAAGAAGTTTGGAAAAGTGAAAAACTGTGAAACACCCGACAGTCAAATTTTACCTGGAGAATCAAGTTTTTCTGGTTTTGCAGACATAACATCTTTCAGTTGACAGCGTTCAAGACTCTACAAAAACATGAAGTTTTCAGCTTGCAAACTCCTTACAAAAGGTTTTTCACAAAAAAGAAAAATTAAAAAGAACAATAATAATCAAGTGAAGTGAATCGAGAAATGAAAACCACAAGATTACCTTCCATATCTCCTCATCTTTATACTGTCCAACAGGATCCACGTTGCTTCTCACGGTTCCTTCAAAGAGGACAGGTTCTTGAGGAATTATGCCAAAACGAGACCTCAGATCATGGAGTCCTAACATACAGATGTCAATTCCATCAATAATTATTTTTCCTCCTGTTGGTTCTACCAGCCTAAAGAAGACTTGGATCATAGTTGACTTTCCACTCCCAGTACGTCCGACAACACCAATCTTCTCTCCCCTTGAATCCTGAGATTGATGCCCTTGAGAACCAAAGGAGTGTTTGGACGATATCTAACCTGTTAGCCAAAAATTAAAATACATCAAACATGGATATATTAGCAAAGATGCCAAGTTCACTGATGATGACCTAGTGCTAGCTATGCATGCATAATGCTTTTGTTGATACCTGACAATTTCAATTGCTTCTCACTTCCTCAGCCTAAGAGAGCTATCGGGGATGGTGTGTGAATTGCACCTCTAGAACAAATGAAAACTTAAAATGATTTCTTTAAAAGAACCATTATAACGCCTTTTACCTGCAAGTCTTTTATATCAACATTGCCATTGGCAGGCCAGTTTGGAGGAGGAACCCTATCCTTTATCTTCCATGCCGCCTCTGATGGAATATTTGAGAATTGCTTAATCCTCTCAACAGAGACCATTCTATTTTCCACAAAGCAACTACAATATATGCCCCAGAACAGCACAGAATTGAGTGATAACCCGTAGGAGAGAGATAAACCAACATTCTCTACATCATGCAGAATTTGGTTAGTTTTCTGGAATAGAAACATTTAAATTCTGATGACTTTAAGAAATTTGAGTAATCTGCAGTTAGATGTTCCAGCAATAGTATCAAAAGCATTGATGCTTTGGATGCTTCAATCAATGATTTTTAGAACCAATAAGCCTCATCTCATGTAAACAGGAACACAAGTAACATGGCAGCATATGAATTAAGTAGAACCAAAGAAACATGATCCGCAGATGCTTTTGCTTTTGCTTTAAAGGAAGAACGTGACTCTTTTGCCAAGAACAATTTGAATTACTTCGTCCAGACACCTTGTCTATAGATGAACATGCATATATCAATTTTGATGAGTCAAATCCTTGAGAGATGTTGCCCAATGAAAATAGCACGTTAGGATGCAATTACCTGGCCTTACAATACTGCTAGGTAATAGGATCAAGAACATAGCAGAAGCGCACAGTATGAAGCTCCCAATCAGTTCCAAACGGAAACCCAACCACTCATTTGATCCATTGTTGTGAAAATCCATGCGCAAATTGGCATTCACTCGGTTAACATTTTCCTGACAGAAACCATCCTGTTTTCTGAAAGACCGGATTGTCATAACTCCAGAGATGCTTTCTGAAAAGTGATGAATGACAGGAGCTTTTGTGATCGAGTCAAGTCGAGTTAATTCCCTAGATGTTGCAAGAAAGTATCCCTGCAACCAATAAGATAATCATCGGTATAAATTTGCCATATCAATCTTGAGATTTATTTACTCTTGAATCCTAGAGGTCAAGCTGTCAAGTAAACGAATACTACAATCATGTTTTACAAATTAGGACGAGGACCACATCAGAAAGCTTTCAAGCTGGTAGAGAATTCTTTAAACTAGCAACATACACATATCTGTTGAGTGATATCATTTATATGCGTGTAAAAACTGCATACTGAAAATGCTACCTGCAAGATAATATGAAAGCTCTTACCCGATACCAGAAGTTCAGCCAACCAAGCGGAATTACTATGAACACAGTTGGCCAAGTATATTGACATACAATTATAATGATGCTGAGCACTGTGATGTACATTGCAACGGTAAGGGCTAAAAGAAACGGAAGGAGGATGTCAACATTGGTTTGATCAGCTGAGGCCTGAAAAAGAAAAATTATGAGGAAAATAAAAAGCTGGCAACTTTAGCCATTATAGATTTAAGAAGGAATACACTCATAGTTGAAAGCACAGAGAGGGAAAGAAATTATCATAATTGGGTCTGGCCTCCTTACTCGACTTAATATTCTTCCTGAAGGCGTGGTGTCAAAAAAGGACATGGGTGCGTGCAAGATACTATGAAGAATACCGCCAAACAACTTCTGGGCTGTCTTAAGCCCCATAAGTGTGACGAAAAGGGATCTCATTATTAAAATCACCACTGATACAGATGCAATAACTCCATAGACAGATATAAACAGTGAAGGCTCGAATGTTGCAGCACGCTCTTCTGCCGTTTCATATGCCAACCAATAATCTCCAGCCATTTGAGATGCTTGCCATAGTAGGGACAATAGCAATGCAACAACTACACCCCACCATCCAAAAGCCTCGGTGCAGTATTGTTTATACACATGCAGGCCTATGTTCCCAGTTGCTCTTTCCTCATCTTCAATGAGCTTCGAAGTTCCCTTTTCTGACTTTGGTTGATCTATAAGCTTGTTTTCGCCATTGGCCTCCCCAAGTTTGGAAGGGCCTTGAGGGGGTTTTGGTGGTCTGGGTGAGTTTGCACTAGGAATTTCAGTACTGACTTCTACAAGTTCCATAGCGGTTTCATGAGCAGCAACTAGTGCTCCGAAATCCAACCCAGACACCAATAGATCTTTGTACTTCCCTGATTGTACTATCTGCCCATCTCGCATGACCTGGTATTGAGAAATGCTTCAATTTTTTTTTTCCAGAAATTACTGATATAAACACTTATCCGCGCCAGTGAGAATGATACAAAATGACTTTTTTACTCACCGAGATAAGATCAACATTGTGCAAGAAGTCAACCTGGTGGGTCACAAGTAAGATAGTCTTTCCCTTAAGTGCTCCCCTAACACATTCCTGCAGAAGGCATTTATATAACTTAAAATTGCCATTCGCTTTCAGAATGCGTCAGGTAGAAATACCGATCACCAACCAGTAAATGTAAGTTTACCTAAGCAAATTTACATGCCTTTTTAACAGGAGATTACAGAAAAGACATTTATCCTTTATAAATTATCTAAATTCTTTGATGTAAGTGATTTTCTGTGTTTCCGCTCACTGACTCTGAATTGCTATAACAAGACACTTACGACCAAAATGGCATGAAGAGTAAATCATTTCACATCCACTGAAAGTCCAAACTTTAAAGCAAGTAAATTTAATGTCACCTTAAATATATCAGTCCCAGTATGCGCATCAACAGCACTAAAAACATCATCAAGAAGATAGATATCACAGTCCTGATAAACAGCCCTTGCAAGTTGTATCCGCTGCTTCTGTCCACCACTGAGGTTGATGCCACGCTCTCCAATCTCAGTCTGATCTCCGAACTCCATCATTTCCAAGTCTTTCTCCAAGCAACAAACCCTGATAACTTCCTTGTATTTCTCCGCATTCATTGGCAAGCCAAATAATATATTCTCCTCAATGGTGCCATTTTGAATCCATGATGTTTGAGCAACATAGGCTGTTGTTCCACAAACCCTGACCTGTTGAAGGAAGAGAAATATTTCAGTGAAGCATTACAAGATTATCATTTGCAAACATGCAGCGGGATTAGCAAAAAAAATAAAGTTGTTGTTAGATTGATTAATTGAATATAAGCAGCAAAAGTAATGCAGAACACCTTACTACATGCAAAAGGAAGTAGATAAATCCCACAAAATGCATACCTTTCCCGATAGTTTGTGCATCTCACCGAGAATTGAGGCAAGGAGAGAAGATTTCCCAGATCCCACAGTCCCAACAATAGCAGCAACCTCCCCCTTTTTGATCTCCAAATTTATATTTTTCAAAACCTCATCTTCAGCTTCATCGTCCCAACTAAATACCCCATCCTTAACCTCCACAGCAATTCTACCATCACAACCATCGACTCTTTCAACTGACTCTTCCACCAATTCCTTGCTTTGCATATAGCGATCCAATCTTGCGAGAGATACCAGTGCTTGTGAAAGTGCTATCATAGATTGAGGGAATGTCCTGATAGGCTCCTGCAAGATTTTAAAGACAGATGTCGTTGTGAACACTGTCCCTGGATCAAGTGGGACTCCCAACAGAAGTGCAGTACCAAATGTTAGAGTTGATACTAGCAATGGTGCGCTCCACATCACAATAATGTTGACGGAGATCGAGTACAAAAACTTGGAAATCCATCCAAATTCTGATTCACGAAAATCTTGGATTCTCCTGTTGAAGTGTTCTTCCCATGCTTGGAACTTGATTACACGCATGTAATTCAGCATCTCATTTGTTGCTTTCATCCTTGAATCACGATTTACCATCACATTTCTTTGACACCTATTATTTCTTTGGGTTCCAAACACAGCGAACACAACAATGCCAAGAGTTCCAATAAACGCCGTGATCATTGGGGCACCAAGAGTGTTATATAGGAGCACCAAGCCAACAATAAGTTGCATTGGCATTAACCATATAGAGTGCAACTGTAACATCATATCAGAGAGTTGCTGGGCGTCAACAGCCATGTAATTCACAATCTGTCCAACTCCATGAGCTTGGCGAGCAGAGCAAGATAACCTAAGGCCTTTCTTGTATAAAGAAGTGATGAGAGTACATCTAATGAGCATCCCAAGTTTCTGAGAATTGAAGTTAAATTGGTGAAAAGTCAAAACCTCAACAAATTTTGCGACAAGAAGAGTCAATACAAGGTAATATCCTTCATAGGCAGAGGTTCTTTTCCCAGATGTGTAATCGACAAAACTTTGTATGAGCATAGGCCCAACATACATGACACAGAGCCGCAAGATTGCAAGGAACGCAGTGAAGGCAATTTCCTTCCAAAAGCACCTCAGCAACGTGATTCGAACAGGGTGGTTGGACTTCTCATGTGGTTTAGGCCAATTGGATTCAAAGAGCTGTGACATTTTTTCAGCTCTATGCTCTGGTGAAAGGATCGGCACATCATCTAACTTGAGTGGAGATTTGTAGCCCTTACGCAGTAGGGGATTCATCCAAAGCCAAAAAGATTTGGATATTATTGTGGCCGTAGCAAAGCCAGTCACATTGGATTTTCCCAGAAGAGGTTCATGTAATTTGGGGTCATCATGCATTACTGATTCAGATTCCCTGATTACAGTAATCCCAGTCGATCCTCTAATGGCAACAGAAAAAAGAACAATCGATAATGTGAAAGCTATTACAGAAACTATATCATCAAATATCAAGTTGTGATCCAGAGCTACCAAACGAATGATCCCTGATGACATAAACAAACTAATGATGATGAAGTTTGCAACCCAATAAATTCGAAGAGACAGTGGATGAGTGATAGCTTGAAATCTCTTCTCGTGAATGATCAAGATTGCGATCACCAGATAAGTTATTGCTTGAACTAACCAAAAGACTCCATCAAGCACTTTCCAATGTGGTAACTGAGTGCATTGACTGAATGCTAGAATGGAGCCGACAGTGTAACACAAAGCTAACAAGACTGATACAACCAAAGAGAGCTTGAACCAGATAGAAGTTGTGATATGAGCTCTGCTGTTTCCATTTCCAAGGAGAGGCTTGTTGATGTCAGAGCCGGAATGCCCACGGGAGTTGAATCTAGAATACAGCTTTTGAAATGCAAGTCCAAGGAGGACAAGCAGGAACAAAAGGTCAAGTGAAGATAACAGAGCTCTTTGAGGACAGGGAGAGAGGAAAATGAATCTTAGCCATTGAAATATCAATGGAATAGATGTGTCCCCTGAAGACTGAACCACAGAGCTTGAGCATGAGAGAGAGTTGATCCATGTTGAAGAACTCATGCTTCCCAAACTTCAAGTGAAAAAAATAAAATAAAATCACAGCAAAATCACTTGACGCTGACCAGTCTCCTCCCTCCTGCTCCCTGCATAATTTTCAGAAAACTATATTGGTAAGTTAGGTCTAAAAGGAAATGATCCACCAAAAAGGAAATTCAAGAAGTGTCAGGGAATAATGGTGCCATAGCGGCAGCAGGGCCACAAACAGAAGGGAAAAAAATGGCACCAATAGTTCCCAGAAGCAAATGATTACAGGAAACTATATAAAAAGACAGATAAGTTAAAGCAAAATCATGAATCCGAATGGGCCGCTACAGAAAACAAAAAATAAACTTACTTGAGCACTTGATTGGGGATCAAAAGCGGCCATCTTTTAGGATATTTAAGAACTCATGCTACCAAAAGACAGGACACAGAAAAAGGACGGCACAGAAAAGGTGCCTTTATTCTATCCTGCTACTCGAATGTATATTTAGTAGGACAAAAATTAAGAAGAGTTTCTTTTTTTTTTCCAAGCCTTCTAAAGCTAGCATATGGAGTCTCTGACACAGTGCTGCAACTTTAAGTCAAATGGTATCTCACAATACCCAAAAAGATATGCTCAATCTATTGCAGTTTGAAATAAAGAGATTCAAACAATAGTATTATTAATCCAATTCCAGGAACAGGTATCGGACCTTAGATGTCGCCGGTGATGGATAATTTGAAATATTAATAAAGAAAACAAGAAGCAAGAGAAAACGAAGGAGACGGCTATAAAAATAGAATGCTGCTGAAGTTGCCGAGGAAACAAACATTCGTGAACTTGGACCATACGCATGAAAGCATATATAGGCACAACAAGTCGACCAAGAAAGACAAACAAATTGTATGGTAAATAAAAATGAAACAAACGCACTGACTAATACACAGACAAAATTAAAGGGATAAATAATTTAAAACAGAAAAATGATGAGCTAGTTTTTCTTAGAAAGCTCTAAGGCATTAAATTTCATACTAAAAAAGATTTTATATAAATGGGTACGTGGTGAAATAGCAGTCAGTCACTGAACTCACCACAGAAAACACCTACCCACGCTGCCTTTTAGTTTCAGAAAATATTTTTTAAAATTTACATCTCGATTTTTTTTATATTTATTCTACAAAGATAATGTCGAAATCTTTGGTTTGATGTGTAATAAATTAAGTGGCGTAAAAATAGTTTGAAATTACTTGTTATCAAATGAAATGTTAATTCCATTATGGAAAGTAATGAAAAGAAGATGGACTTCGTAAATTAGATCTCTGGTAAAATTTTAAATATTTAGAAAAAGTTTGAAAAACTAGATGGATAGGATTATATATATATCATGATTAAGTTTTGGATTTATTTTTTATTTTATGATTTAATAAAACTCATAATTATATTAATTAATTAGATCTTTAATTATTATTCTTTTGTGACAATCATTTGAAAAAATCAAATAAATATGATTATTGAATTATGAGTGTTTAGAATTTAACAATTAATAATTTAATTAAATTATTTTTTCAATTGTGGTGAGTGTTGTAAATGGATTCAGCAAACTATAAATAGAGGAATATTGCATAGGATAATACACATTATTTTTTTCTTTTACAATCTTCTTTTAAAAATTTTTCTCCTTTTAAAACTCTATAACTTTAAGAAAGATTCTCTAAAATGAATTTCAGAAATATTGTTTGTAAATTTCTAAGATGTTAAAATTGAATTCTAGAAACTAGTTGTTAAAATTCTTACAATATTATAGTAGGGACAATAATTACTTAAGGATAGTATAGAGAGATTTCTGCATACAATTAAACACTATGATCTTTTGTTTTTTCTTTCATCTTCAATTTTTCAATTATTATATTCTTTATTCGACAAATAATTCTTTGTAATATTAGGAAACATATTTATTAATTACAACTTTTTTTCAAAATAGAAAATTAAAAAAAAATTATTTAACCTATGTTAAAAATAACAAAAATTAACGGCATAAAATATTTGGTGATCAAAATAAAGCTCCTATTTTTTATTTTACAGAATTTTGAAAAATTAAAAAAACACTAATATAATTTCTTTAATTTTTTATTTGAAAAAAAAAAAGAAGAAAAAGAAAACTAGAAATTTCTCCATAGACAAAAAAGAAAAAATGGATGCTTTTGTTATATATAGCACAGTCGTGGACCCTGCAGTGCATCTGGTCAATGGATGTATTGCGTACATTTTTCACAAGTCCAATAATTTATTTCGCTCTATATTAGGATGGAAAGGTCAATCCAGGTTTGCTCTTAGATTCCATGAAAGGACTGGCGAATCATCTTCACTCACTCATGCTGTGTCTTCTCTTCGATGATTTTCTAAGACGAACAACCACACGACTTGTATATGGATTCTCTAAAGGAAATACAGGCACGTGTGTTGCCATTTTTGACTAATACCACGACTATCTAGAAGCATCGTTCAAAAAAATTGAAAAAAAAATACATGTATTGAAGGAATTCATTGATAATTACTATATGCATTATCTTACCTTATAATTAAAACCATTGTATTACGGTTTAACATCCAAAGCACTTCTCTTAAAATAATAATAAAAAAAAAGCACCGATTAAACATGATTTCCTTATTAAGTATATTTTTTGGGTAAAAAAAAAATGAAAGTATAAGTAAGTTATTCAACACTCCCCGATATAAAATATTACATGCACCCACCAAATATGACAATATAGGCTATTCTTCGTTGATTTTCTAAGACGAACAACCACATCATAATTCAGTTTTAGTCAGGACGACGGAGTTAATCATTCTTAAAATAATAATTATGTCAATTTTTTAAATAACTATAAAGGGGACGATTTTCTCGCGAAAGTAGCCAGCTAGACCGAGTCCAAGTGAAGTTTTATATAATAAAACTATTGAAATTTACTTCCCCACGTTACAATCTTAGTTGGGATCTCAAAATTATATATATTTTTTCAGTATAAAAATAGTTCTTTACCCACGTTATGTTACGAGTTCGAACAAAACTTATAAAATTTTATTATAAAAAATAATTTTAATTTGATGTATGTATTACATTATTGGTTACTAAAATATATTAAATAGAAAGTAAAAAAAATATTAATTTTTTTAAAATTCTATGTTTAACAAAATATTTATTGTGTTTTTATAAATTTTCTCGCTAAAAAGAACACAATTTATTCTTTTATATTCAAATTATTAATTGACAACTTGTAATAAAAATTCTAAAATTCATGAACTCTTAAGTAAAAACTTTTCTTATAATTTTATTTTAAAAAAATATAAGACAAATTATTTAGAAAATACTCTTACTCTTATTTTGAAAAAAAAAATTGATATATATATATATATATATATATATATCATCACTTAAGAATAAAAAAAATTGTCCTATAAATTATATTATAATTTTTAAAAAGAATAAATAACAATATTCTAAAAAATTATTTAAAAAATCATATATAAATTTCTCTCTCCTCCCTCATCTCTCTTCGTTTCTCTCTCCTTCTAGCAATTAGTAACTGGATTACAATACAAATAAAATTATAAATCGAAATAAAAATTGTTAAAAAAACCAAGAACCAAAAAACAACAAAGCAAAACTTTACGTATAGAATGTCAAAAAAAAACTTCAAAATTAATAGTTTAGGGTAAACGAGTAATATAGGCATAATAAATGCATAAAATAACTTAAAATAACAAAAATGATGTGAATGTGTGAATAGTCTAAAAATAATAAAAACCCCACCTCTTTCTTTTAGGGTTCTTTGTAATTTTTTTTTTATTGCTAAAATACATAAAGAACTTCGAAGATTGAAAAAAATTAATTACACCATGCAAATTAAGGATTATTTTCTTTTACTTTTCTACTAAATAAGTCAAAGAAAATAATCCTAGATTCGTATTGAATCGATCCAGCCCAACTCTTTTCTTCCCCTTTTTTTTTTTCGGACTTGATTGAAATCAGCCCAACCCAAAAACACAAACAAAACTCTCCTTTTTCTCTTTTTTCGTCTTCCTCATTCGATTGCTCTCTCTCTCTCTCTCTCTCTTTACTTCTTCTTCCCTCCTTCCTTCTCCTCCTCTCTCTCTCGCCTTTTACTAGTTCGTCCCTCTTTCTCTTCTTCTCTTTTTTTTTTTTTTTTATCTTTCTTCTTCTTCTTCCTCTCTCTCGACCTCATCTTTTTCTCGATCTATGGAAGAAACAAACCAGAGATTTTTGGTTGTTCTTTCCTCCTTTCTCTCTCAATCCTTCTTTCCCTCTCACCTTATTAATCTCCCTTTTCCAATTAGATCATAATCCCAATTTGAAAATTTTTTCCAATTTGGTCGAACCCTAAGTTTTTTATTTTAAACCTAAATGAGTCATTATTTTCAAAAACCCTTAATTTTTATTGTCGTTGAAGATCTCAAAAACCTTACGTTTCAATCTCATCTAATATGGGTTCAATTCATGGTTTAAACACCGAATTGAAACTCCAATTAAATTCCATTGGCCTTCCTTTCTATTATTTAACATTAATTTCAATTCACAACAAAAATCTCCAAATTCCAAAACCCTAACCGTCAAGAACCCAAAATTCCTAAAAAATTCCAAATTTCATTTCTAAATTCAAACCCTTCATTTAGTTAAATAAATACAAATGTATGTGTGTATGAGTGTGAGTGTGGAGGGGGAAATTCGTGTTGATGATGATGATGGAGAGTTGTCGTCGCTTCAACAATTAGGTAAAAATTCCTCTCTCTTTTGTTTTTTATTTGATTTTAATTTTCGCAGTAGATTCCTTCTCTCTTTTTTCCTACCGGTTTTTTTTTTTTTTTTTATGAATTCAATTGATTAAGACTAATCCCCTTTCCTTGTATTTGCCACTCGTCGCTTCTTATTATGATTGTTTTGGTTCCCCACCGTTTGATGGTGTGAGATTTTATTACGGGATATGGAGTGGAGGGGTTTTGATTGATAGATTAGTGATTT